TGCTTTTACAGTGTAAGGTGGCTGTGGAGTTTAGGAGATGCTATTACAACAGTACTGTTTAAGAAAAAGTAAACACCAAGGTAATGAAACTGACAGAAAGGCACACATTTTGAAACAGTTGAGAGGAAGATCTAGAGATATTATTAACTGATGAGACTTCGAACGTGCACACATTTTCCAAATGCTTCAGCAACCACCCCAAAAGACAGGCAGACCTGATACCACCATCCTCATTTTTAGAGGTGAAGTAACCAAAGCACAAAGGGTTTAGATGGACTGCCCCAATCACACAGTTAATGAGGAAAGGAGTCACGGCAGATGGCTCATCTAAAGGCTAGACTCCTCCTACTTGGCTTAACTACCCATTCTACTCACCAAATACTGCTCCCAATCACCTTTTTGCTCTCTAAATACTAAATACATCTTCCTCAAAGATCACAGCTCTGAAATTTCTAATGATATTTGAAGACATTTAAGTTTGTTGTGAGTGAGGAAAAGATTTCAATACACGTTTTACAAAAGAATACATATATAAGAATAGATAACAAGTACATGAAAAGATGCTCAACATCGCAAATCATCAGGAATATGTAAATTATTTGGGAGGCCAAGGTGGGAAGATCACTTGACGCCAGGAGTTTGAGACCAGCCTAGGCAACACAGCGAGACCCTGTCTCTACAAAACAAATTTAAAATAATGAGCCGGGCATGTTGGCACATGCCTGTAGTCCCAGCTACCCAAGAGGTTAAGGCAGGAGGGTGGCCTGAGCTCAGGAGTCTGAGGGTTCAGTGAGCTGGGATCATGTCACTGCACTCTAGCCTGAGTGACAGAGCAAGACCCCATCTCTTGAAGAAAAAAAAAAAAGGAATATGTAAATTAAATCCAAAATGAGATACCACTACATTAACTGTTAGAACTTTTAAAAGAATAATGACATCTGACAATACCAAGTGTTGGCTGTCACTGTCATAGATAATAAAAAGAATACAAAATGGTACATCCGCTCTAGATAACAATATGGTAGTTTCTTAAAAAGTGAAATATACATTTACCATATGACATAGTCACCCACTCCTGAGTATTAACATAAGAGAAATGACAGTATATGTATGAACAAAGACTTGAACATAAATGTTCATAGCAGCTTTATTTATAATTGCCCCAAACTGGAACAAACCACATATCCATTAACAGGTGAACAGAGAAACAAACTGTGGAATATTCATACAACAGAATACTACTCAGCAATAAACAGGGGGAAAAACTATTGATATATACAACTAGGATAAATCTCAAAATCATTATAATGAGTGAAAGAAGCGAGGCCAAAAAAACTCATACTGTACAATGCTATTTATATAAAATTCTAGAAAATAAAACTAATCTACAGTGACAGAAAGCAGACCGGTGATTGCCTGAGGATGAGAATTTATAAAAGAATGAATTCCAAAGGGAGACAAGGAAACTTTAAGGGTGATGAAAATAATCATCATCTTGATTATGGTGATGGTTTCAAAAGCTTATATATATGTCAAAACTCATCAAATTGTAAACTTTAAATATGGGTAGTATATTATACTTTATATCTCAATAAAGTTATAAAAATTATATCTCAAAAAAAATATTGCAAACTTTGAGAGTAATACCCAAAGGAGCCTTCATAATGCTATTACTGTTATAGAAATGCTCTTTCTACATTAAAAAAAAAAAATTTTCACATTAAGATTATGGTTCTCACCTTTATACAAAGGAATGTATGACAAAACTATTAAAATATTTCATATGAATAAACCATCATTTTCAGTCATTCTAAGCGTTCAGTTGGGAAATACATACAAAATCTTTAGTACAAAACCTTGATACAAAGGTTGCCTACTAAAGATTAGAAAGTAACTGAAGAAAGTAACAGTAACAAAAATATTCTGTTCATCTTTAAGAATTTTTTTACCCTCAACATTCCAGCAAGAAAAAGTTGATCATGGTTTGCAAATTAAAGAAAAAAAAACCACTATCAAATTTACACTGTTGTCTCAAAGAAAGAATGATTCTTCTTGATTTGTCCCTCTCTGAACTGCTGACAACAGAACAAAAGACATAAAGGACTATATAGTGACCATAAAACCAATTCTCTATTGGATGCTTTGGTAAATACTATTAAGATTTTTGCTACAAAATTTAGCTGGGCATGGTGGCACGCACCTGTAGTCCCAGCTACTTGGGAGGCTGAGACAGGAGGATCGCTTGAGCCCAAGAGTTTGAGGTTGCAGTGAGCTATGGTGATGCCACTGCACTCTGTCCTGGTCAACAAAGCAAGATCCTGTCTCAAAAACAAAAGTTTTTGCTACATAACATCCTTACCCAGACCAACTGCCAATATATAGGACTTTGGCCAGATGGACAGATTTTACATAATTGATGGACATTAATTAAAAGTAAATGTCACACCAGTTACAGATTACCTTGTTCTTGTCCATTCCTACTGCTTCACTTGAGTATAAAAAAATAAATTTTAAAAAAATAAATGATAACTTCTCAATATTGCATTTTCTAAGTTGACTGAAATATATCCTATTTAGGGGGAAAAAAATCCTATTACTTAATAATTAAAGAAATAGCTAATGCAAGCAACAACACCAAAAATCCTTTGCTAAACTAGTCTCATCATTAATAAGTCAGTTTTGTCTAAGTCGAATCAACTTAGCTCTCCCCTTTCCATGATTTGCCAAACTCTTGACAGTACTCAGAATAACCACCTAACACTAACTATACATGCAAAAATGTCACTCTACTTAGAGTTATGCAACAAAAACAATGCAAAGCAGTGTGCCTATCGCTCTTTCTGGTCTACTCAGGAAACCAGCATATCCTTAAGAAGACAACTTTAAGCACTCAGGAAGGCTAAATGCAAATTAGTCGTGAGCATAAGCAACAGCTACTAAGAGAAAATCTGAAATCTGTCTAGGCTTCATGACACAAGACCAACCAAAAACTGGAAAAAGAACACACTAAAGTTGAGACTAAAATAAGCAAACAATCGAAACACACACAACAAGGGCCAGGTATGGTGGCTCACGCCTGTAATCCTAGCACTTTGGGCAGCTGAGGTGGGAGGATTGCTTGAGCCAGGAGTTCAAGATCAGCCTGGGCAACACAGCAAGACCTCGTCTCTACAAATAAAAAAAAAATTAGTGGTGGCTCATGCCTGTAGTCCCAGCTACTTTGGAGGCTAATGAGGCAGGAGGATCCCTTGAGCCCAGGAGTTTGAGGTTACAGTGAGCTATAATCATGCCACTGCACTCCAGCATGGAAGACAGAGTGAGACCGTGTCTCTTACAAAAAAAACCCAAAAAACAACAACAAACAAACACACACACAAAATTTGAACTCTTTAGCTCATACAAGGAGAACCAAATAGTACAATTAAAGATTTTTTTAAGCAATTCTCCTTCTTGGAATTTTTTCTAAAGAAATCAAGATGTGGGCATACATAGCACAAAGATATTTAGCATCCTATTTTTTAAAAAAACAATAAAAAGGTTAAAAAGAATTTAAATGATGAAACATTGGAAATTAAATAATGACATATTATAATGGATTACCACATAGTCGTTATGAATAATATTGTAAAAACCGATTTAACAGCATTCAAACATGTTCAGATTATATATTTAGGTTTCAACTAGTTAAAAAACATTATATATTTAAGTTTTTTAAAGTTGGTAAAAGACCTTACATATCTATCCACATGTTGAAAAGCTTTATCCAAGAAAATACAAAATGTCATCAAATGGTTTTATAACTGGGTGGTAGGAACGATCAATTTCTGATTTTTCAAAAATGAACACATTATTTGTGTAATAAAGGCAAACTAAGTCAGCTAAAATTAATCAGTAATGGGGGAATTTATTGTATAAAAAAAAGAAAGAAATTGTTAAACAGTAAAAATATGAAATGAACCTTTGCATGGCTCTGGATGTGGTTATAAATTTTGGGACTATTTCATATTATTGTTTGTTGTCAGAAACAGAATGTATTAAATCAATGAAATCAGGCAAATGTGACAAACCCTCGGAGTTGCCTTAAAACTAATACTTATTCCAGTATAAACAACTACCTAAATAATCCTCCTCATCTCTAACATGGAAAGAGCAAATTTCTGTTTCTGACAACCAAAAGAACTAAACATACCCTTGGGAATTTTGCTGTAATCTACCATCATCCACCTGTCATATTATTATTTTAACACATGCAATAAAAAGCTCTATACTAGTTGTTCTTATATTTTAGGGATCATGACTCTTTTGAAAAGTATTAGCTATGAAACTTCTCCCCTCAAAAATACACATGGATTTATTCTTTTTAAATTATCCTTATTTCGTGATTCAACTACTTCACAATCTAAAAAGCAGTTATCTACAACTTGGTAGTTAACTACAAAATTAAAGACTTCTGAAGAATAGCTAATATTTCTTCCAGTATTACAGAAATTAAATATTTCATCTGCTTCTTCCTTTTCAATATTTGCAAGTGAAAACGTACTTTAACACTTGCCTGTATTTCTGCACTAGCATACATTATTTGTTCCACAGCTCAAGGGAATAACTGGTATGTTTTTATTTCTTTTGTATGCCTTACAGCATACCAGGAGAAAAGTTCCCAATGAGTCTATCACCTGCGTTCTCAGACAGGACCTAATTTATATCCCATCCAGGCAATTAAAATGCAAGAACATCCACAAATATGTGTAAAGAACTATGGCAATAACTTTCTTTTTTATTAAACAAAAGCAAGAGCAAAAACAAAACTCCCACTGGTGAGAGTATTTCTAACCAACAAAACCAAGCAGAAGTATTTTTAAAAATTATATTGATATATTTACCTGCCACAAGCTTTCACACATATAGCCCAAAATGTTGATATTAACAAAAATATATGTAAATTAAAGATACTATATATGAAAATTTGAAAAGATTCATGAAGTGTTCCTAAATATACTCACAGAAAGATAGCTGTTAATGTCCACATCATCAGTAATGGTTTGGCGCTCTCCCTTATGGTTAATTTTTCGAAATCTTCTTCGAGACTGTCTGGCAGGAATTTCTCTTTGTAGAATAGTATCTTCATTATCTTTAGAATTCTCTACCTGAAACACATGTTCACATTCCTGATTAAATATCCAATTTTTCCAAATTACTGACAGTCTATGGAGTCTTAACAGGCTCATAAGGAAGCTTCATTTACTTCTTGCAAGAAACTGCTTCAAGAAAACAGTCTGTGTAAGGACAGTGCTCACAAGTTCAGAAAGATTAAAGGTGATGTTATTACAAAGATCTGGAGACCACAGTTTCCTTCCAGGAAATAGTCTCTGTTGCGCACATAAATATATCCTCTAAGTAGTCACTTACCAGAAATGAAGGTTGTTAACTACACCTACACATTCAATAATTACAACTTCTGATTTAGTCTAATTACAAACTGCCTGATTATACACATATTTTACTTAGCAAACAATCATGGCTATGGTTTCAGTGAATTGCTAAAAAATAAAACAAAAATATGTATTATTCTTTGGTGTTTATCTTAATACATAACAACAGCCACAAGTAAGGCTTGCATTTTTTGAGAAGGAAAGGAAAACTAACATTTATTAAGAGCTTAAAATGGGCCAGCATGCATATATATTGTACTATTTAGTTCACACGACAGCTGTGTAAGCAGGTATTACTAGCTATATTTTCTAGACAAAGTAAAATCCAAAGAGATTAGTGACGGTTCCAGTCTCACAACAGTGATTCTTAATAAAGCTGAGTTGGAATACAGGCCTGTCTTCAAAGCTTATGCTGCTGGTACACAACTTCACTGCCTATCCAAGCACAGACAACCATAGTTTTAAAAAATTAACTATTTTTATAAAGGTATATTAATATGTCCTACAATATTCTTTATAACTAACCTCCCATCACACAAATTCAATAAATAACAAACGATGGTTTCAGTTTTTCCCTAAAACTAGTTTCTTGCTAATGTCATACCTCTTTCCAATATTAACAAAAATTTCTAAAGCTCTCAAGTACAGTAGTCTCCCCTTATCCATGGGGGATCTATTCCGAGCCCCCCAGTAGATGCTTGAAACTACAGATAATACCAAATCCTATATAGTTTTTTCCTATACATACAAACCTATGATAAAATTTATAAATGAGGCTCAATAAGAGATTAATAGCTAATAATAAAATAGAAAAATTGTAACAATACACTGTAATAAAAGTTATGTGAATATGATCTCCCTCTCTGTCTCAATTGTATGGCGGGTAACTGAAACCGTGGAAAGTGAAACTGCAGGTGGGTGGGGACTACTGTACATAATCCCATTAACACTCCCAGCTCCCCTGCTTGTCTTGCAAGTCTTAGGTTCGATTATTTCTCAGACTGTCAATTGTTTATAAATTCCTCTCGTAATGCTCTTTCTTTCATTCCTATTGCCACTATTCCTTATTTCGAGTCTTAATCACCCCAGTCCTGACCTATGCCAATTGGTGATCCAATCCTGTTGCTTCAGACATGTTCCTCTCCAATTCTGTCCTGCAGGGTCAGATAAGTCAGATAAACCACCTAGATAAATCATCTCTACATTAGGTCTCACTTGTTCAAAATGCTACTGAAAGGGCAGCATTGCTAATAAAGTAACAGGAAAAAAAAGGAAAAATCACAATACACAACTGTCCCTTTGTTTGCTTAACTGCCTGTGGCTTAACTTGTTGTCTTTAGGAGTTTGTTTTGCAGAATTGCAACAGTACTGAGCAGAAAGAAAAGGCGCATATTCCTCCTCCACATCAGCCAGACCACCCTGCAAAAAGTCTGGTAAGGCCAGTCTAGCAGAGAAAAAAACAAAAACACAGCAGCCTCCTGTTATTTTGCAACAATAACCAACCACTTTATCCTTTATCCCAATAAAAACCCCAAACCCCTTACCCTACAGGCCAGCACTTCTTTCATGCTGTACCCTTTCCCCTCTTGGAAAGTAAAATAAACTTCTTGCTCCAAACCTATCCTAATCTTTGTGTGGAGAATTCTTTCTCAGCCTGAGGTGCAAGTTCCCACCCTAGCAGATACAATGGACCTCTAATGTTTACCAAATAAATGTTAAACGCTTACATTTAATATTCAAAGCCATGTACACTCCATCCCCAAAAATACTTTGATCACTTTATCTTATATATATAACCCTGGAAAAGCCATTCCCTTATCATCCTTCTCACAAAAACTCCAATGAGATATGCAAAATTCCCTAATGATTTCTCAGGAAGAGCTGATGTCTAATCTGTTCTGTTTGAGACGTGAGTTGAAGAGTAAGCGGCAGCCAAGTCAATGTGACTATTCATGTGCCCCATATATTAATATATGTAACTTACACTCTGCTGTCTAACGTAAGTGACTTCACTTCAATTTGTGTTATCCTACCCATTCTATCTTCACTTGTTCACTTGTTACCATTTAGATAAGACCAATCTTCAAAGACCCATCTCAATTATCATCTCTTCCGTAATCACAAAAGACATTCTTCCTCTTGCAACGGCTTATTCTGTATACAGACCTGGACTTCTCACCAATGAGAGGTGCTCTCCACTGCCTTCAGGCCTTTGCATACAATGCTGTTCCTTCTGCATAAAAGCCCAGTCTTCCTTCACAACACGTTGGCCTCCTACACATATCTTATGATCCAGTTCAGACAATCTCTCCTCTGCCCCAGGAAGGTGTTACTCCTTATACAACACTAAGCATATCGAACATAATTATTTGATAAGTCTATGCACTAACAAGGTAACAAAGCTCCCAGGGCAAGAACTGTATTATATTCATCTTTGTTCACGTAACACTCAAGAGGTTTGTCAAAATGGCTGTTAAATTCTTATTTTCTCCTCAAATGTTAGGCCCTTGGAAATATGTAAAATGCCCTCAAAAATATGTCTTAAGTCACTACACAAGTCCATATACCAGAGACTGTAAGTTACCTCATTTAAGGCTCACAACAACCTTGTTACACAGCTACTCTGCCTATTGTAACATGTGGTACAGAGCCTCATGAAAGTTAAATAATTCACAAGTGGGTGAATCAGGACTCAAAACCCAAGTATGACTAAAAAATTCATCAACTTCATATTGCCCTATGCCAAGGGATTAAATAGATTATCTAGGTAAAAGTCCAATATATGATTTTTAGACCTTTTAATATCTATCATTTACTGAGCAACGCATAGATTTATACAATAAAAGCTTTTCTTTTTTTTTTTTTTTTTTTTTTTGAGACAGAGTCTCACTGTGCTGCCCGGGCCAGAGTGCTGTGGCGTCATCCCAGCTCACAGCAACCTCAAACTCCTGGGCTCAAGCGATCCTCCTGCCTCAGCCCCCCGAGTAGCTGGGACTACAGGCATGCGGCACCATGCCCTGCTAATTTTTTTTCTATGTATTTTTAGTTGTCCAATTAATTTCTTTCTAATTTTAGTAGAGACGGGGTCTTGCTCTTGCTCAGGCTGGTTTCGAACTCCTGAGCTCAAACAATCCGCCCGCCTCGGCCTCCTAGAGAGCTAGGATTACAGGCGTGAGCCACCGCACCCGGCCCAATAAAAGCTTTTCAAGGTAGAAATGGAAGTAAATTAAATTTAGGAAAAGGCTTTCTAAGTTTCAAAATATTCAGAAAAGTACCAAATTGAAAGAAAAATCTAACCATGACTTTTACCGGACTAAATGCCTTTAACAAAGTTCCTCCTGAATGCAACTGAAATGTTGCATTTAAGACATTAAATGTTGCATTAGAAACAATGTAAGATTTGGAAAAAAAAAAACTGCACAAATGCATAACTGAAATGGCACAAAAGTAAGGAATCCAAAGGCCAAGAATGAAGTGAAAGCAAGAATACTTGGACTTGGGAAACCAATAAAGCCCCTGATCTACCAGATGGTTTCTGCCAAACTAAAGACTAGACCTTACATTTTGATGTTGGGAGGGAGAGAGGGAGACAGGAGATAAATAATCTACCACAGCTGGGGAATCCAATAGGAAACCTTCTCATAAAACTCATCCTCAATAGCTGCACCCTCATTGTAAGGGGCAAGCAAGGTACAAGCAGAAGGGGACAAGAAGAAAACTTGCCTGCACTGGGAAAAAGTTGGGGGTGAGGGGGAATCATACAATAAAAAAAACCGTGAGAATTCAAAACCACAAGCCATCCTTCACGTAGGTCTGTACTTTGAATTCATAATACCTTAATCACATAAGTAAACCTCAAAAAGTTCAGGACTGTTAATATATACAAGAAACTGGCAGGAACGTAAAACCTTGCAAGAATGCAACTTTAACCCAAACCTCAAAGTATTACCATACCTAAAGTTCCAAGACATATGAACTCATAGACACACACACACACACACACGAAACCCCCAACTACAGCAAAACCTATTCATGCAAGGAAATAAGATACGATGAAAAGTAATGGACCAAAACAAACAAACAAAAAGCAGAATACCACTTGTAAATACTTCAATACACTGGACGTATCAGATAATATAAAGCTATAATAAAAAAAAACTTTCAAAGGAAAGGAAATTTGAAAATGAACCAGAGATTATAAACAGCAGCTGAGCATGTGAGACTTAACCAGGACAAGAAAGCCCTTAGTGCCACCCTCCTCACTGCCAGGCCAGCAACACTGAGTAACAAGCATCAGCAATCTACATTTGGGGGAGGGATGAGAGCACAGAGAGGGGCTCTGAAGCACAAGAGTATAGGGAAGGCCTAAAACTGAGAGTGGAGCAGGGACACTGAGAAAAATCTTCAAACACACAGAACTACACGGTAACACTAATGGAATTTGAAACCACCAGTGCACTGAGGGTAACCATAACAATAAAAAAAATCCAAACCTAGCTCAACTCCAGCAGAAGAGCTGTTTTCATCTCCAGGCCCAAAAGCTACCACCCTTGGTCTTCACTGCCCTATATACAATACATAGCATTAAATCCAAAATTATGACTCATATAAAAAAGGGTAAAAAATTATGACTCATATAAAAAAGGGTAAAAAAAAAAAATACAATGCCAAGAGACAAAGCAATCAACAGAGTAGTCTACTAAAATTAGGGCTGA